ACCACAATAGCAACAACAACAACCATAACAGCAACAACCACAATAGCAACAACAACAGCAACAACCATAACAGCAACAACCACAATAGCAACAACCACAATAGCAACAACGACAATAACAGAGACAACAACATCAGCAATAGAAGTAACTCCTCCTTCAGAAGGTAAGCAACTAATTATCTAAACATATATTAAAATATTTTATATTGATTTGAAGATGAACCAAACTTGGCATTGATTCTTGGTCTTTCTATGGGTATTGGTATTCCCGCGTTACTTTTGATCATTGGTGGTCTTATTTGTTATTTAAAAACACGTTTCCCTAATGCCAAAATTGAACCTGCTGCTGCTACAAATACTACAGTTAGTACTGTTACTGATATTCCACTGATGCCAATTAATACTACAGAGAAGAACAGTACTTTAGCAGCCGTAGTAGTTTAATTCAACTTTGCTTTTTTCGTAATTTCATGCTGTTGCGATAACATATTGAATTTATTAATATAAAAAACAATTGTAATAGAAAATGACATATACGTTGTGTCTATCGTTATTATTCTTCTTCTAAAAGGGATAGATACAATCATTACAAAATAATATTTATGTACATAATCTGCATTATACAGTTGTCTGAAAGAAATGCAATAAAGATATCAGTAAATCATATAAATTTTAAAGTACAACACAATATAACACACACACAGAGTTAATTAATAAAAGAAATTTTATACAGTACTATTCAAAAAAACTTGCACATCTTGTTATGTATGTATATCCCCATTTATAAGTCACTCTCAAGTAGTTTCCATTACTGATTGATAGCCTATGTCGAGTACTATTAAACACTATACTTCAATATTTTATTCGTTCGCCTTTAGATTCAATAAGAGACAAACATCGTTTTTTTATCCACATTACAATTTTCTCTACAATATTAACATCAATATTTTTAAAGTCTTAATTCACATAAAAAAAACTCTAGTTTATCAATATTTTTCGGTTTTCTTTTTTTCAACTTAGCGTTTTACGATCGACCATAGGTTCTCGATAGAATTAACATCTGGACTATTGGATGGCCACGTCAATAATTGTGGCACCTTGTTGTTGATGAATTATTTAGCAATATTGCTAGTATGCTTAGGATCATTATCTTGTTGTAAACACTAATTTTGACAAAATTCTTGTCTAGCAGCAGAAAGAAGATAATTTTTCTTCAATTTCACTGAGGGTTATTTAATTCTTACATCGAATATATTGAGCAATATAGATTTTTTCTATTTCCATGTGGCACATAGTCGATCATTTTCTCTTCACTGTTTAAGTGAATTTGTTTGTTTCAATTTATTTATATTGTAATAGATAGCTAACCATTGATGATATCTTTATTTCATGATGAATAGCACGAGCGCATCCCATGCTTCTGTTACAAAAATGTAGTGTCAATATTATATAGCCAACGTATAGTATAGCCAACGAACATATATTCCTGGAAAAGTCAAATTTGTAATTATTTTCTAGCGGTAAGAATTTTGAATAGTACTGTAAAATTACATTAATATTGAATTCTGTTAGTATTAAAAAAGAATAAAAGGTAAAAAGAATTAGTGGTTATGTGATAGTTCATATTAACTCAGCTAAGCCGCGTTATATAGATAATGTTCTTATTCAGGATGTGTGGCATATTTGCAAATACCATTTTGTTTTGCTATTTGTTCTAATTGATCGACATGCTTATCATAAACTGGATTGAACTTCAGATTAAGTGTTTCTAATGTTTTATTTGTATTCAAAAAATCAATAATTGTTTGTAAAGATGATTCAGGTATGTCATCACCCCAAAGTGATAATGACTTCAATGAGGGAGGAATAGATGAAAAAATCCTTGCGCAGGAATCACTACTAAGTGGATTATTGATTAAAGATAAACTATATAAACGGCTTTCAGACAAGCCTTTGCATAAATAACGAATACCTTCACTATCAATTTTACATTTACGTAATGTAAATACGCAAATTTTGGAGCTATGTATTAGAAAAGATCCAATATATTTCATAGCTTGACTGCAAAGTTTATTTTGTGATATGTCCAAATGTTCCACTGTATTATTATCACGAAAATCTTTGAAGAAATATTTTTGCATTTCTTCGTTCATATCATCCTCTCCAAGATAAAGTTCAGCAACACGAATATCACAATTAAGAATATCAAGAAAAATATTATATGCATTAAGTGACATATTAGAATTAGATCTCATATTTATTGACCAATATTTCGTTGGATTTTTCTTCATTTCATTGTATAATTCGAGTAAATCATAATCTCGTCTATGTTCTCTAGGTAACGAAATGCAACCAATTTCTGTTTCAGCAATTATATCTTGAATCTTTGTGTAGATTTCCAAATAACAATTACACTGATTTGCATTTGTAATTTTTAATATTTGATCAATTAAACCAGATACATTTAATTCAGGTGCACTGTTAAGAGTTATAGGATTATTTTCGAGAGAAATATCTTTAATCTTTGGATGAGTTTTAATAAAACTCTCAACCCACGGTAAAATTTTTGCATTTAGACAACTATGTGTAAAGTGTAATACAATTAATGAATCTGATAAAGACGAGAGAATAGCTTGAAATCCACTATTACCTATGTCACTGT